AAGATCTATAATGCAGCTCTGCATTTCAATCCTGTCAGAGAACAATCGCAGTACATTTAATACATGTAATTAATCGTCTTTTCCTTTCTTTTTTTAGGCTTGCTTTATATATTATACTTCATATTAAAGATTGACTTCAGCACCACAATCCAAAATATATGACTTTTAATTAAGCCTTTCTTCTCTGCGGGCTCTTTTGAAACACACAGAGTTGGTGTTTAGTTTGAAACGGAGACTCTGAGATCATGTTTTCCTTTTATAACGTCTCGTGTTTGCTTTAGATAACACAATCTGCCGCGTGCGTGTATTTGTGTGTGTGTGTGTGTGAGACCCTTAACATTAATTTCCTGTTTAAATTAAACTGATCAGAGCCATGAGCTTAATGGGCACGTTCTCTTTACATTTCTGTCTCGTTGTCATCTTATCTTTAATGTTGTTGTGTACACGTTCTGTTATTTTTACAGCCTTTGCCCTTTATTTTCGCCCTCGTGACCCCCCTCCCCCCATGCTGTGAGTTAATGAGTTTTATAGTAATGCACAAAGCTGGCAGGTGAATGGCTAGTTCTATAGAATAAAACACAAAAGCGGCTAAATAATCACCTACCATGGAAAATGCAGACAAAAGACGGCCAAGCTTCATTTCTCCAAATAACATGTTGTGTTTGTCTAAGTGAGACAGTCACTGGGTGTCACGTATGTTCACACAAACGCATGACCTGCTGTCATCTATAACATAATCTGAAGATCCCACTTCCTCTTCCTCACATTTAACCTGATGACTGCCGGTGTCTCGTTTTTGTTGCAGTGATGATCGATTGATTAGTAAGAATGTGCAACTTTATGATTGGATCCCAAAAAACTAGTCATCACTTACAGTACTGTGTAAAAGTCTTGAGCCACCCATTATTCTTTATGTTTTGGCAGGTGGATGATTTATTGAAACATACATGGATATACATATACAGCATATACAGTAAAAACAGAGCTTGTACTATTCTAACGAGCTTCAGAGTGAATATTAAGTATGAGTGCCTTTATTCTTCAGCTCTATGTCAGCTCTGTGAGGATCTTCAGGATCAGTTCTCCAGGGTTCATGAAGGATGTTCAAAGCTCTTCTTTGGATGTTTCTGCCTTTTGTTCTGTTCTCTGTCAGGATGATCTCACAGAGATCTGGCTCTGGGGAGGCCCATCCATGACTGATAGTGTTCCACTATATGTTCTTCTATCCAGGTATGATTTAATTATTAGCAGATGCGTTCCAGATGGTGGATCAAACTGACTGTATTTTTCTTCCCTCATAATTCATCTGTTTATCAAAGATCTCCAACATCACAGACTGACCTGCAGCTGAGACCATGACAGAGCAATCTGTCTGAGAGACTGCAGTCAGTCCAAATTGGGCTGCAACTGTTTGGAGACGGGTTGCCTCCCACCAGACAATCTGTGCAGTTACTCTGCAGTCAAAAGACGCTGAGGGTGTTACACGATCAACATCTGGGCCTTTAGTTGGTTGCTGGAATTACTTGCAGTTCGTCATCAAACAAAGAAGAAAATTCAGTGTAATCACGGGACAACCACAGATTAATCTTTCCCTCGTCACAAGGAGTTTGTCATCCTATTTTTACTCTAGTCCGGGGGGGGGCACTCTAAATTGCGTCCTCAATGTCTTGAAGTTCTCCAGAGGCCTGGTAATGACCTGATCATTTGATTCCGGTGTGTTGACCCAGGGTGAGATCTAAAACCTGCAGGAGACGGGGCCTTGAGACTGGAGCTCCCCACCCCTGCTCTAGTCCAATATGATAAAAGCTATCTTGGCTCGTACTAACTGCTAATGGAAGGAATCCGGTCTTTGGGTGATGACGCAATGAATCCTGCTTCCGGGCCCAAAGTACTCTGTGTTTAATAAGGCTTTTGTGTTTTTTACATGTTTTAATGCTTTGTGTCTTGTTCTATTTAATCTCAACAAGCCCTAAAAACAGTCAGTGATCACTGTCGGCCTCTCTCGGGTTTTATTACCACTAATCATTTTAAAGCTCAGTTTTCAAAACCTTATGATGTAACTGCAGCCCAGCCCATGCAGCAGTATATTAATAACTAACCTCGTATTGTGGTTGGATTATCTCACCTGTTCTCCCGACTGACGTTCGGTCCGTTTACCGCATCCTTCCATGTGATTGCGTTTGTCCTGAACCTTCGGGAACACCCGCGTTAACTTTGAGTGGAAAAAAGTTAGCGTTCATCGTCTAACTTCACTGTTTATATTATGCTAACATAGCTGTGTCGCTAGCGATCAAGTAGCACATCATTATATACCAGCTAACCCAATTTCAGTAACCCTACAAACGTCACTGCTATTTTGTTTTCTGTCTTTATTTATGTTGGAAGTGATAGCAGAGCTGTACGTTTTAATTTGTTTTGTAAATCTCTCAGCCACAACATGGTATATTTTATATTTAGATGGAAACTAGCGAGCTAACTCCCTGCTAACTTCTAACTCCGTTACATTTCATAAATTTGGTTTTCATGGATGCCTGGATGTTAAACTTAATTTTTACACCTGGTAGAGCAACAACGCTGATCATTTTATTACAGATGAAAGGAGTTGGACAGTTTTAACTCTCAGTGACGCCGCAGTGATTGTGTGACTTAGGGACCTGCAGCGGAGTTTAGGCCCAGGCACGACTAATGACGTAAGACTTAAAGATCGGATTGGTTGTGGTTCTTGTAAACACAAACCCCAAACATCTGGCATCAAAGCAACACAAATGTGTGACTCCTCCCTGACAGAGGTAACTCTGGGCAGTGTTCAACTTCCCCAAGACAGAGAAGAGCAAAGTTGTCTCTGATGTTCATTCATGCAACATTGTGTTTTCATGCTGTTTACCATTCAAAAATGAAGGATAAACAGTTATATTAATAGTTCATGATAAAGTGAATGAAACATCAGTTAACTAATATCTGTATGTTTTCATTCATTTTTCATAACCGCAGTGAAGCTTGTGCTTTCTGTGCTCAAACAGATTTATTCCCCCACAGTGCTTCACAGGACAGTTCTGTCACAGAGGTCCCATTCAGTGCATTAAGAGGCAGAATAATTATCTAGCAGCTATGAGCTGACTGCAGTGGCTCATGCTTTTAGATATCGATACTGTGGAAAATGTAGAAATCGAGCTGATTTTGTTTTTATCCCAATATTTGAGCATTAAATCATTAGATGATAATAAGAAAAATCTCATTAAACTGAGACTTTTTATTTCAGAAAGTCTCAATTTTCCAAGAGGTCACACAATGCTTTTAAAAGACAACTGGCTCAGCACCAGTGTCCAGATGTTTCTGTTTTCAGGGTCCTGATGATGGATGAATGTTGGGATGTTGGTTTTTCTTTGGAAACAGGGTTAATAGGTTGAAGCAGCAGCAGTCCTCCTCTGCTTCATGCAGGAGTCTCTGGAAGAGATCGTGGATCCTTTATTTGAAATATAAAGGCACTGGGCCCGGTTCACTGATATATTTGTAGAAATTGTTTTTACTTTCTGTACGAAATAATCAAGATCTCAAAATCTCGGGTGCCGGTTTAGCTCAGCGTGTTGAGCGGGCGCCCGCATGCCATATGGCAGAACGGCCAGCCCAGGTTCAAGTACGACCTGCGGCCCTTTGCCGCATGTCTTCCCCCTTCTCTCTCTGCCCCTGCTTTTCTGTCGTTTCTTCACTGATCTGTCTAATAAAGCTGAAAAAGGCCAATAAAATAAAATAAAATCTCAAAATCTCTTGACTCATCACAAGTGTTGTAAATTTAAAAGCTTGTTTTGAAAGTGCTGTTGTGTTGTTTATTTCAGGTCCTCAGAATTTTTATCTTCATGAGTGTGAATTATGAAAAAAAACTCTTGTTAAGCTCGTTAAGTAAATTAGTGTGTATAAGAGCAAACACACACACACACACAGAAACATGTACAAGTGCAAGAAATTGAGCATGAACAGTGATTTACACCAACACACTCAGCACATAATATCACTAAATGCTCGACTGTCCCCAGATACCTATCACTCTGTGTGTGTGCGTGTGTGGGTGGGTGGGGCCTCAGTATTAATATGGGCCTAATGGAGCCCAGTGAGAGCTGCAGTGTTCCCTCTGAAAATGATTTAATTACATTTGCAAAGTGGATGAGTCTGGAGGGAGTGTTTGCTGCGTCAGGGCTTAAACACACACACACACACTTACAACCAGAAAGAGAAGTAGTCTTTCAATTAGAGTGATTGGCCGCCGTGCCGGGGTCTGGATACTGTTTTATTTGCACTTACCTCGCTCGCTCTGTCACGTCTTTATTTTTCATAACCTCATTTTGGAGATTGCTCTCTCACTCACATCTCCTCCTCTTTAAGCCTTTAAAGCATCGACTCTGGTTCTTCCTTTTCTTTTGCTCGTAGTATAATAGGATTTTAGAATCGGTGCACAATAATGATGAAGTGAACTTTGAGTTGGTTTCTGGCATTCTGTCTCCATGCTGTCGGGATGCTTCTTGATCTGAGACCTGGCATTGCAAAAAAAGCTTGAAGGATCCTCTGTGGTCATTAAGCACCTTTTTTATGCAATATGCATCTTACCGTTTTGTTTTGTTATGGATGTTATGGAAGGGAGGGTGGCCTCATAAATAAGAATTATTTTGAACTGTGAATCATGCAAAGTCTCTCTAGTCGCACCTGAATAATAAGTATAGGTGTGTAGTCTATGGCAGAAACATGAATGAATGAATGAATGAATGGTGATGAAATAATGATGCACCATATCTTTAGCTATAAACAGCACAGAGAACACTTGGGGTCGTCGCTTTGGTCCCACTCTGTTACCTAAACTTCTAACATCTTTTTCTCTTCGTCCCTCTCCTCCTCCTCCTCCTCCTCAGCAGTTTGTCATTGCATTGAATGGAAAAACACTGAGCTCTTCGTTTGTCTTTGACATGCTGCAGCTTGAAAATGATCAAATATTTGTGTGTGTGTGTTTGTAGGTTTTGGGATTATAGCCGACAACAGCCTCTCCTGGATACTGTAGAGCATCATTCAGAGTTTGTCTGTGGATTAGACTTCAACCTGCACATCCCCAACCAGGTAACATCACCCACCTGTGCTGTTTGTAATGAGCCAGCTGACTTACTGAGGTAACACTCAAAGGATGAAAGAACCAATGTTTTGTGTGTATGGGTGTATGTGGGTGTTCCTGTGTTAGCATCTGCTGAACAGGTTTTAGTTCTCAGACCAAAACACGCTCCCAGACTCATATTTATCCACATTCATAAATACATGTGTACACTCAGCTGGTTTTTTAAAGGTCTCCATTTTAGAAGTTTTCATGCAAATTTCCCAAACGTTGAGTAATCCAGCTAAAGACAAACCAAATGAGTAATATAACCTTCCTGAGTGTACGTCAGCCTTCTCACCACCATATAAACATAACAGTACTCCAAAATGTCTTTTAGCAGAGGTTCTGGGGACGGTCTGTGTCCCCAGAACTTAGTTTAACATTGTGACACTCACTCAGGTTTAAACATTACCAGCGATGCTTGCTGAGAGTAATTAGATGCACAAGAGCGTAAAACCGAGTCAGGTTGGCCTTTAGACTTCTGCCATGAAACTGTGAAAAATGAATTCACTGGATTTAACTTGATTAAAACGGCAAAGAGTGAAATTTACTAACATTTTATTAATCAAGTTTTTGATTTCCATTATTCTATGAATTTGGTATTTTTAATAGACGGAAATGTACCATTTAAAAAATCTGGATCATTCCTTCTTCAGGTATTCCTGCTGACTTCCATATTCAGGCATATTCCTTCTTCTGTTCTCGCCTCATTGTGCCCACTCCGTGTTTCTAGTAGTTTTGAATTGGGGCCATAAATCAATATGTCCGCACAAGGCTAAGTTTTACCCACACACCGAAACGCTCAGCCCCGGTCGCCCGTCACCGTGTGGGGTGCTCTGATGTGTCAGGGTAAGAAAGCAGTGAATTGAAAAGGCCACCGGTGTCCAGTCCTGTTTTTGGACTAATTTTGACAGGAGCTGCACCGCGTGGCTCTCAAACTGAAGGAAACATGTGACATCCAGCAGACTCCAGCATAATGCTGCCGGATGAGTGTGTGGGGTATCCTGACTAAAGCTATATTGGGATTCTCATCAGCTGGGAAATTAGTGATGAAATCAGCTGCAGCTGCTTTAGGAAAGCGTGAGCTGAGGTTATCACTCCTACATCACTGCGCCATGTTGAAAGTGTTCTAAAAAAAGAAAAAGGTTTAGCTTAGTTAGCCAAAGTTCACCATAACCCTTAAAAACACCTTCAGCCAGTTTCCCGTCTACTATTTGATGCAGCGATGCACCTTAACCAAGCAAGCTCTGCTTTACAGGATTCAGCCCGTTAACTTTAAGTGATGCAGAAATCCCAGCTGAGCTTTTAACGAACCGCACCAGAAGTCCTGAGATTGATTCCTTACCCTCCGGGTGGCCATCGGATTCACTTCATTTAGGCAGCTGTTGGTTCCTTCCTGTGTCTTATGGTGGATATTTCATGGAAATGCAGCATTTGTCTTTGAGTTTTTTAATAAAACACAATTTTTCATGGAGCTATTTTGACTCTAGATTGACTTAACTTCAAGTCACGACTTGGATCAGCTGCTGCAGACTGAAGCAGAGAAGAAGCAGTTGAAAACTAGCCTGATAACTTTAGGTCAAAAATCCCTTGTTTAGCCACTGTTTTTAACAAGGAAGATAAAAAGTTAAATAGTTTTAGCCGATTTGATTGGATTTTATTCTTTGCCTGCACAACCATGACCAATCGAGAAGACTACCAACAAAAACCTGAAAAATTTCAGCTCCAAAAATCAGATCCCTTCTGATTCTCCATCATATGTACATATCTGTAAAAGTGAGCGGAGAAGGGATTTCTGTCGCACTCTTACCTATTTCCCCCAGGGTTACCACAGCAAATGGATCCACGTGTTTGATTTAGCACCGATTTTTCCAGGACAGGAGCAGACTGGCTTGTGAGCCCAGAGGCAGATGTGTTATAACCACTACACTACAAGAAAGTACGAAACTCAGAAACAGACCCACATTTTTTTTTTGGTTGTTTGTTTTGTGGAGGTTTGTGAAGGATGGAAATAATTCACCTCTCCGCCTTGAGAGCATACAAATTCATTTTGTCGGCGTGCACCATCGTCAGAGTTTTCACTTGAAGCCAGAAATAGCTCAAGTGGAAAATCAGATTGAGCAGGATACAAACGGTGACGAGGTGGAAGTGCGTACGTGATAACGGCCTCACGATCCACGGCGTAACCCCACAACGTGATGGTAAACAGTCAGTTACCCACAGCAACCAATCACAGAGGGCAGGCTGTCCCGAACGCCAGAGTTCACTGTGACAGTCAGCGAGCTGTGTGTATGTGTGTGTGAGAGAGAGGTGCAGTAATGAGCTGCAGAGTGTGTGTGTGTGGGTGGAAGCACCAACAGTAATGAGTTGTATTGTTAGCCGCGCTGTTATCAGTCGTGTCATTGTGGAGAAGCAGGCTGTGAAAATGCGAGCCACACTCAGTGACAGTGTGGAGGACACTTGCACTGACGTCATGGATCAGATCGCCGCTCTTATTTTCCGTCTTCCTCTGGGGTCGAGTTTCTCTCCTTGGGACGTCTCTCTGCTCGAATCACATCAGATACTCAGGGGAAAAAAACAAAAACTCTTTTCAGGGATAATTTAGAAGCATTTCTAAATAATTTGAATGAGGAACAAGAATCGACATTCATCTGTCCTGCTTTCAGAGGATGTTTCTGGCAAATAATCGATTAAGTAGAAAGATTAGACTCTAAAAAGTCAGAAAATCGTCTAATAGACGAGGTTAAACACTGCTGAGACAGATATTGCACATGCATTTAAAGGACATTTGAAATCACTAGTCAGTAATAAAGTCATATTTTACCTGCCAGTGAAACATTAGCTTGTTTACTGTGGCTAATTTTAGCAGAGCTAGCTAGCATTAGAAAATAAGACAGAAGAAGAATACGAATTCTTTTATTCACTTTGTATTTTAAAGTGTGAAAGTATTCAAATAAAGTGCTGACATCAGCAGAATTATAGAGCAATAGTAATGATGCTGAGTAACTTAAATGGAGGTAAAAGAATACAATAACAGCTTCACCTTGTAAGTCTGCAAGAGCTGCACAACACCGTCACACAGAAAAACAACCACCTTTAGCTCTTCCGGTCATACAGACTGAGCGCTCCAGTGATTCTCACCAGCTGCTAGCATCCCCTCCTTTGTCGCCTTTGTTCTTTCTACCTCAAACAGTCTTCTGTAATATTTTACAAAGAGCTGAGCTTCGTTAAAGTAGCTTCTGTTTACGTACTAACATCATGTTCGAGGCTAACGTTCGCCTGGCTTGCCTCGTTGTTGTACTCATGATACAGCTCTGTCCTCCAGTTGATTTCCAAACCTGTTATTTGCCAGTTTCATATGTACTACTGCAGCTGCGGTTCTCTTTTTGCACCTTCCCCTTTGACGTAAAGTCTTAGACCACAGTGTCAAACAAATGGTTTGCACCAAAGGGTCCAGTCTGGCATATTTTATGAACTGCTGTTCTCTGCACCAGGAAAATAGTTTTCAGATAGTTCGGAAGTGGTCATACCATTATGGTGGCTCCAACAGGCCTTGGGCATGTTGGACTTTATGACTCATAAACTAAACAGTCATAAAATTCACCGCCCCCATGTTTGACCCAGCAGCTGCTGCAAATTGATAAAACATGAATAATTAATATAACCGGCTAATATTTCAGGTGAAGTTTGTCTGCAGCTCGTGCGAGACACTGACAGTTGTGACCTGCTGCTTCCTCCACATCACGTGATTGGCTCATTCAGATTTTTGTTCTCTGCATCTCTGTGGGTGGCCGTTGAACACGTGCCTTTCATTCTCAATAAGACACAAGTTGAATGTAAAAGCTATAGAAGACCTATTGACGGGGTCAAAAGGGGAATTCTCCAGAGGAAAACTGCCCGTTACTCAAACGTGATTAAAAACCAGCTCTTTGGTGTTCAGGATTTAAAAAAATAGTGTGTGTGCAGAACTTATTTTCTGTTCTGTTGTTCGAGATGAACAAATTGACCAAATATTTACGTCAGTGGTCAGTCTCGCTGGTGTTGAGCAATAATGTCCACCTTTTGAGAGTTTGAAGGTATGGCAGTGGGGTAAATACGACAGAACAGTGTTTTGGTCTGTTTTCACTTGCTGATTAGTTTGACTCCCACCGAGGGCACGGTTGTGTTTAGGCACTACAATCTAAGATAAGATAAGATAGAACTTTATTAATCCCTCGGGTGGGTTCCTCTGGGAAATTCGACTGCTTGGTTAGGTTGAGAAAATGATGATGGTTTGGGTTAGAAATCCATCCGTCTGCTGCTGAAATGTGCTGCGTCACAGGACTGATACACTCTGTTTATCTGAGAGACTCCAGAGCTTTTAATGAAACAGCTAATAAATGTCTTCAAAGTCTCCTCGACCATCTTAGAGAAGCAGGGACTGACTGACCCAATCACTGACACGCAGGCTGGTTTGTCTCCACGTGTGAGGCTGTGGATAGTTTATGTGGTTGTTTTTTTTTGTTTGTTTTTTAATGATTAAGTGTGGACAGTCGAGTGTTCGGTGTGGCTGGTCTTGGCTTTTTGTTCCAGCTCGTCTCTGGGAGGTGAACCATCATCTTCAGGGTTTTTATCAAAGCTGCAGATTCCTCTGATTATCTGTGGCATGGACATTTTATAAACCTGCCTCATAACTGGCAAAAGCACAGTTTTGTTTTTTCCAGAGGCAGAAAGTGTGTCTGGCTCCATCCTTAAAGTATTTTCTTTCGATCATACTGCAGCTTCTGCAGTATACAGTATGGCTAAGCATTAGCATGAAATGGGATTCAACTGTCCTCAGAATGTGTGCGCATACAAAACATGTACAAAGGATCTCTAATCCAGGTAGGAAATGTTTGTGCTGTTAGATTTCTCCTTGCTTTCCCAGGTTTCTGTGTCTTCTATACTAATATCTGCTCTCTGTGACCAAACATGAAGACACGAGTAGAAA